TTCAAACGCTGTAAGTCGCATTTGTATGCAATTTTTGTTTCACTCCATGAAACTTTGCAAATTTAGTAAAAAAATTTTAGATTTGATGCATCTCCATTTGCATTCGTGCAGCTTTGTAAAGAATCAGTAAGTCATTTAATGAATTATGGATTTTAAAAGTAGAGACTGTAAGCTGTATAATGCTTTTTCGATCATTATGTTACGATAATTTTTGACAAAGTGCTCTATGTTGAATTTTTAGAAATTATCGATATATTAATGCATTGTCCGGTCAATTAGTTTGGTGACTGTAATATAATTATAATACAACAAAATACTTGATAATAATTATAACGCAAGATTAGGTATTTACTGTACAGCAGACTGTAATAAAAAAAACGCAAGCGAGAAGTCGAAATCGTCGGAATAAATGATAAAATTGTTTGGAGAGTTAAATAGTGTAAAGTCGATTTTATAAAGTATTGACTGTCTAGTCAATACAAAACAGCTGCGAACAACATACTAGCAGTATGGTAGAGATATTTTGTAAATTTGACTGTTTTTGTAAGAGTCGTACGCTGAGAGTCGACAGATTTTCCCCACATCAAGAACTAAAAAAATTTTTTTCTCGAAAACGAGGCAAAACACGTTCTTCAGTTTTTTTTTTAAGATATAGGAAAACTGAAAGTATATAAAAAATATTTTTTCAAATTTTTCGACTCTCCCCGATTGTTAAAAAAATTGTTGAAAAGTTTATTGTTAAATAAACAATGGAAAACAAAACATTTTTGGAATCTTCATTTTTTTCTCGTAAACTAGAACATTTTTCGCGTATTTTGAAAAAAAAAAGCAGTTAGCTAGCATTATTAATAACAGAGCTATGAATTTTTGAAAAATAAAGTAGTCTAATTTTTAATTGTTTATATCTCGATTAATTTTGCAATAAAAAAAAAATTCTTTAGTACAAAATTCTGTTTCCCAAAGTACTACCTTTGTGCAAAATTAAAAAAATTTCTGAGAGATGACTGATCCGCTTCACGTGGAATAGCCCATATATATATAACATATATGTATTTATAATATTATAATAAGTAGGTATAGAAGGCGGGTTCTGGATACAAAGTAGGTCAAGGGCAAGGGGTGGGGGGAATGTAGGTCAGGGGGGGAGAATGTAGGTCAAAAGGATTAATCAAAGGGGTTAATTAATTTAATCAATTGATAATTAATCAATTAATTAATAATCTATCGATTAATTGATAATTAATCAATCAATTAAATACTATTTAATCTATCGATTAATTGATAATTAATTAAGCAATTAAATGATAATTTATCAATTAATTGATAATTAATCAATTAATTAAAAAACCATTTAATCAATCAATTAAATGATATTTAATCAATCAATTTAATAATCAAATGGTAATCAATTATTAATGATATTCTTTCGTGGAGGGGTTCGCCGCCACCACGTGGTCCGCCGCCGCCGCCATTTTCGAGTTCAGCGCCACTACGTTGGCAGTTCCGGGCCCGCGGGGTCCGCCGCCACCACGTGGTTCGCCGCCGCCTCCATTTTCGAGCGTAGCGCCACTACGTTGGCAGTTCCGCCATTTTGGTCAAAGGTTCACATCCTCTCTCGGCCGCATTCGAAAGTTCGCATTCTCTCTCTTCCTCTCACCCGTTGGAATTTTTTTCCATCACGCCCTTTTTTATTTTAGTTTTAAGAAAATATGAACGAGAAGAATAATATTTTAACACATGATATATGTTTAATACTCATTTATTTATGTAACGCATCATTCACAATATTTTTTTAGAAGCATAATTTAGAAGCATTATTCAGTCTCCTGCATCCAGGTTGACGCCATATTCTCGGACTCCGGCGTTCTAGCCCTCGCCTGTGAGCTCTCCTGCGAGCTCGCCTCCTCCTCTCACGGAGGCGTCCTCATCCTCGCGTCGATGTCCCACGGCGCCTCGAACTGCGGGTTCACCTCCACTCGCGGAGGCGTCCTCACCCTCGCATCGTTATCATCATCGTCATCATTGTCATCACTATTTAGAAAATCATTCTGAAAGAAAAAAAACATCATCTTTATTCTAGATAAAAGAAACGTCGTTTTTTTTTATCCAAGAGTAATTGCTTTCGTACTTACCATCAATCTTCTACGTCTCTCAGCCTCTACCTTCCGGTGTAGGTCCACCAGTCACGCGTCGTTCCTATCCTTCGAATCCAGCATTTTGCACTCCCAAATTCTTGTTCTATATAAACAAATTGATTTCCACGACATGTGCACAAAGCAAAATATATCGTTTCCGATTTTGTTGTGATCGCGCAATACTGTATTGAGACCATTCTCACGATCGCGTTAAATTTTTGCCAGCGGTGGCATACACAGTTGACGCTCCAGTCGATACATGGTGGACAGACACGGTGCACTGAAAAAAACTCATCATGCAGTCCGAGATTTTGCAGACAGAGATTTTTGTAACTGAGATCGATAAAAATCTCATGCGCTATAGCAATGAGACACATTCTATTGAAAAAAGAGATTATAGGGAATAGATAACATTCCATCTCGTTCACATTGATTGGTTCTCGTTTTCACGTTTTACGTTTCACGTTTTACATTTTACGTTCGCGTTTCACGTTCGCGTTTCACGTTTTTCACGTTTACGTTTACGTTATCATATAAGTATTGTTCAATTATTATTATTAATCTTAACTACATTATCATTTAAGTAATGTTTAATTATTATTATTAGTAGTGATCTTAACTACAGGGAAGGGAAAAAATAAAAAGTAGATTTTTTTAATTCAAACAATTTATAATATAAAATTTATTTTTTTTTCATATTATATTATGTTCAGCCATCTTTCATATTTAAAAATATTAGTCATAAATTGGTTTAAAGTCTTATTCAGGAAGCACGAATCGTTCTTGTCAAACTTGCGAGCGATGTTTTTTAAAATTGGATCCAGGACAATTGCGATAGATCTTATACGTCTCTAAATCTCTCGTTGTCTCGCGCAATTTCTTCCTAAGGACCTTTTCGGGCTGCTCGATAGGCGTAACTCCATGTTATCATAACATGTATGACTGGAGTCGAGTTGAAGCTCACCTAAAAAAAAATAGAATTTCAAATCTTGATATTTTCTGCTAATACATATATGCATGTATTATAAAAATAAAAATTATATACACTTAAGCTATCACACATACCTTATTCTTCATTTCCATCAGATTCATCCTCGTCTTCGGTATCTTGGAGGAGCCTTTGTCGTGCATCGTTATTTTGTTGTGCTTCCACCGCAGCGTTTATCAAAGGGCACATAGGACACATGTTGCGTGGCATTATTTGGTACAATGGACGTCTGCATCCCCTGCATGACCAACCATCGAAGAGTATAAATCGTTCAGGATTATGTCTTCGCCTGACCTCAAGTTACGGAAATTGATCGGTCATTTCAACAACGCATGAATGGCAATATCTTCCCGTATTCACATCTTGTTCCCGTATATCATCGTAATAAAACTCAAGCATACACATTATGTCAGTGATATGCAGAGCATTCACTTGACTTGCGTTCAATTCTTGATGCATTTTTTCGAACATTTCATTCTCTACATCATTATCATCCGAATTCTATCTTGAATTTCTTTATTATTTTTCATCATTTCTTCATCATTTTCATTATTTTCCATCGGTTCTTCATCACTTTCAACAACTATTATTTCTTCGATATCCATTTCGTTCTCACTTTCAACAACTATTATTTCTTCGATATCCATTTCGTTCTCACTTTCAACAACTATTATTTCTTCGATATCCATTTCGTTCTCATACAATACCATGTTTTCTATTCACCGGAACTTTTAGTAGCGTTACTGACAGAATGTACTCGCAGTCTCTTCGCTTTATATGCTACTAAGGGTTGATAGCATTTGAAATACGTCTCATTTTAGAAAACATGTACTTTATCAATTGTCGTAAAGATAAGTACATTCCTTATTTTGAAAAGAGATTATTGGGCATATAGATATAAATGGCATTCCATCTGTCTGTAGATAGTCGTTCACATTGACAGTTCTCGTTTTCTTGTTTGAGTTTATGTTATTATTATTATTATTGTTATTATTACTATTGATCTTAACTATAGGGAAAGAAAAAAATAAAAAGTAGTTTTTTTAAAGTTCCATGTTTCTCTATATCACGTCACACTCTTCCACAGAACACTTGCATGTGACTTGACAGCATCGTGTGTATGATCGTTCCGTATTTCGAATAAGGTATCCCTCTACCTCGCCTTCCTGATACATGCACTCTTCTCGAAGGACGATGCAAATGTTGCAGAAAATATCATCATCGTTTGTTGTCATCAGACGTTCGTCAAATTCACGCTACCATAGCAGCCAACGTTCCTCAAGTTCGTGCCGCCATAGCAGCCTGTGCTCTTCGACCAGCCGTTGTACAGCAGCTGGATACGTCCACTCGCCGTAGATATACGGGTCTATTATCAACAACTCGACGTACTTCTCGCTACCCGCGGGAATCGTGATGTACAGATTGGTACACTCGAGCTTTCTAACGATTTGCTCAGCCCAGTAGTACTCGTTCTCCAGAACAGTGATATCTACGTATTTCCATTTTTTATTCCGATATTCGTACTCGTTGTACCACCTTTCATAGTCGTCGTACACTTTCTCGCGAAACTACGTGTACACTTTTCGTTTTATGTAATAAGGCCACGTAAACACGGAATCTTGGTTGACAACGACTCCTTGTCTCACGACGCGTTCACCAGTTCCGCGTATACCTAGTTCCCGGTCGCGTAGAAACTGCACCGGCGATACTCGTTGCACATCCGTCTTTCCATGCGGATCACCGAGAACATGAACGACATCTTCCACCTCGTCACTTATAATCGCTGTCTCGATCATGTCTACGTTCGCAATAATGTTTTT